TGCTGTGTGAGCTTGATGCCTGGGGCTGTGGTAGCCACTTTGTGACAAGGAGGGGAGACCTGGACCACACGATGAGGATGACAGAGTGAAAGGACGGAAGCCAGCTTCCTCGACAGCATCTTTGAGTCTCCCAATCAGCTTGGGATCACCTGCCTCTGCACTTTTGTTAAGGAGACAGTGCATGTCCTTAGATTAAGCCACCTTCAGCTGGGTTTTCTGCTGCTTGCAGCCGAGCTCATCAATTGCTGATACAGGCCTTGTCCCAGAGGTGTTACCGTTGGACTCGACACTCCTGCTACCACCTTGAAGCTCCCCATTAGTGACACCAGAGAAGGACTAAGACACAGGCTTGGGGTGCAGTGGGGCAGAGGAGGGGCCACGGGCTCAAACTCCACAGGTGGCTGAGGACCAGGGGTCCCAGAAGCGAGAGGGACTTCTAGGCAGCAGGTAGCTGGGGTCCCAAGGACAGGGGGCGGGGAGGGCAAGAACCCATTAATCCGGCCAGGGTGAGAGTTGTTACTGCTATTATCATGAAGCGTCTCAAGGCTCACACTCATCCTGGCCTGGCCAGGCCCCATTAATGGCCCCATAAATCCCAGCCATAAAGAGTAATGGGGGGAGACAAATGAGATAATTAGGAATAAATCTCACCGAGGTGTCTATTCAGCAGCGTCCCTGGAACGGGCCAATCTTCCGAGCCATTAGCCAGTCCCCTAATTAATGCCAAGCTGCCCAGCGTTGTAGAGGCTCCAGGCACGGGAGGGACCCGGGACCAAAAGGAGGGGCACCGCTGCCCCCAAAGCCCCAGTGGCGGGTGACCTTGGGAGGAGCCGAGGGACGCATGCCCGCAGCCTCCCTGCTTCGCTTTTCTGTCTCCAGGGCTTGGGGATGCTTTGTCCGCACTGTCCCGTCTGCCTCGCTGTCTCTTCCCCTCCTTTTCTGCATCTCACTCCATCTCCGGTCTGTCTACCTTCAGTCTCTGTTTCTCTCTTATCAGGTGGTCACTGGCTGCATCGTTGAGCCACAGAAGGTCTGACTTAGCAGGAATTGTGGGCGCCACCTGTAACCACCCTCCTCCATCCGTCCTCCCTGCCAACAGTCAACACCAGGGCAGGGACCCCTTTGACACCCCCTCCCCTGGAACAGTGTTTAGAACCGGGAGGTCCCCCTACCACTGCTGCAGTGCGCTCTCCTTGGGGCGGGTCTCTCTCTTGCCTGGGGCTGGGATCTCTCTCCCCGTGTCATTACCTCTGCCTCTGGGTCTTACCTCTGCCACTGGAGCCCGAGACTGAGCCTCACTCTCCTCCCAGGCTTCAGATTTTTGAAAGGCTTTGTCCTTGTCTTTCCCTCCCCAGCCAGATGCCCTGTGCAGCTCAAGGTTTCCAGCCAGGCCTCCCCAACCCAGGTGCCTCCTCTGGACCCACCTATAGTGACCTCTGTTGTTTTAATCTGCCATCCTCCCCCGCCCCCACTTTTTGTCACAGCACCCCTATTTCTTTGGGAAATGTGCCCACCTGATTCTGGAAGGGCAGCCACGTAACCCACCGTCTCTGGCCACAGAGGCCTGGCTCATTGTAGCCCTCTGTCCCCTGACATGGTGACTGGTCCAGAGATGGGCCTTACTGCCTTCCCTGGGCCCCCTGAGGTGGCAAAACTGAGAAATGCCTGAGACACAGCACGTGAACATACCTCTCTTTCCCGCCTCCGAGCACCCCTGGACACTTGTCCGCATCACAAGGGAATGAGGCTGTAACCCAGGGATGGTAGGAATTGTGGGGTACAGAGGCCGCTACAGGGTCGGGGAAAGATAGGAAAACCAGGTGCGGGGCAAGGAAGGCTGGGAGGGGCTTTTCTCTGGAGGAGGTGGTGGGGAGGGGAGGGCTGGGGCTGTGGGAGATACCATCCCATGCCTGTCTCCGTATCATTCTAGGAAAGTCAGAATGTGGAAAGGAGCATAAACACGGAAGTGATAAGGGGCCAGGTCTATGACCTCTGTCCTCTCTGCTGCCCCCGCTCAGCAACGGGGGGTGTCTGCAGCAGCTGTCCTGAGCCTTGGGGACCAGCCCACAGTCCCCCACCACTGCCTCCTCTGCCCAGGGCATGGCTGGCTGCAGGCAGTCCAGCCTTGGGGCTGCTTCAAGGTGTCCCCTCCTTGCCCTGGAGACATGGGGTGTCTAGGCCCGAAGCCGAGTTGGAGTTGGCCCAGCTCTGAGTACAAGCACAGAGAATGCCGATTAAATGTGCCAAAGAATGGGGAGAAGCTGGTGCAGGCTCAGGAGGCCGGGGCGTGGCGGGCAGAGCACCCCTCCCCACACAAGCCAGCCCCTGGCTCAGCCGCCTGCTCGGTTACAGGGCAAACACACCAGATCACCCAGGGGTCATGGGCGGTCCTGGCCAGGGACAACTCAGCCTGGCCTCACCACCTTGCCTTCCCACAAATGTGGTAATGCCTGTCTTGAGTTAGACGACCCAGGGCAGGAGAGTGGCCCCCAGGAAGTCTCCTGGGCAAAGCGGGGTGCTGATCTGCTGCTCCAGGGTTGAAAGAAAACCAGAGAAGCAGGCGACTTCCCTGGATACTGTGGCCGCCATTAGGTTTCCAGAGCCTCATCACTGTTCCATTGTACACACAAGGAGACTGAAGCCCCGAGAGTGAAAGGGCCTCTTCCCCAGGACCTACAGCAGAACCCGGCTCAGATCAGCTGGTCAGAAAGCAGAGACTGCGAGCCAACAGAGAAGGGCCACGGTGTGGAGGGGAACGGTCCAGAACCAGGGCTTGCCCTGGAAGGACATGTGAGCAGAGCTGGGTGGGTCAGTGGCCTCTAAGATAAATGCAGTCTGCTTCCCAGCAGAGATGAGGCCACCTGGGCAAGGACGCGGGGGCTGGGGAAGGTGGAGAAGGCGTGGGATGCAGGGGGGCGGGTAGCAGACACAAGGATCAGGCTGAATGGGCTGGTGGTGTTGCAGGTTCTGAAATGTGCAGTGTGTGAGCACATGTGTGTGTCTATGTCTGGTGTGCGTGTGTGCGGTATGTGTGTGTCTTTGTGGAATGTATGTATGTGGCTGTAAGGAGAGTGTGTGTTTGTGTGTGTGTGGCTGAATTCCGCCTCTGTCTCACCCCTACCCAGCTCAGCCTCTCGGGTTTCAGCCCCTGTCCTGCAGGAAACCGCTATTTGGACTTCAGAGGTGCCTCTTCCTGCAGCGGCCGCCACGGAGGGGAGAGGGCCGGGAAGGGGCCTTCCTGCCCACCTGGACCAGACCTTGAGTGGGTCAGGCAAACCCCCTACGCTGGTCCTCCCTAACGTCCCTCGAACCTCAGCCTTGGGGAGAAGCTGGGTTGAGCGCGGACTGAACGGAGGCCCTCCCACAGTCATCCATCCTCCTGTGGACAAAGGAGTGCAGCAGAAAAGTGGACGCTCCCCGCAGCCATGGGGGCAGACTGGCATCCCCTCATGGAGGTCAGAGTCACAAACACACACACCCTGAGGCCCGGTGATCCCACCTTCAGGAATATTCTACAAATACAGCTCATTTGTGCAAAAGGACATGCTCACGCAACCTTGTTTATAACAGAGAAATTAATGGAAGGGATTAAGCAGGAGCTGGGCAGCTGGGTCATGTGTGGCTCATCCCTCCGTGAAGCTCCAGGCCGCTCTTCAAAGTGCTGATAAGGAAGAGCCCCAAAACAAATGGTCAAGTGATAAAAATGGTGCAACGTGCATGGGATTCTGACATTTTGTAAAAAAAAGAAAAATGATATGGGTAAATGCTTGTGTATGCACTTTTGATGAGACTTTTGAACCTTTTGTACTTTGAGCATACAATAACTAAGCAAAAACAAAAAAACACAAAAAAAACGCTCGAGACAGATGAACATGGAGGCGGCCAAGAAAATGGGGCTTCTCTCCTGGCTTTGATCTTGACTATGTGACCCTGGGGAGGTCACTTCCTCTCTGTGTCCTGAGTTTCCTATGTGGTCCTTGGAAAACCTTGGTGTTGGCAAAGTGAGGCCTGTGTACACGTGTATGAGGGGAGGGGCTGCAGGGGAGGGGGGTGGGGTCCCTCTCACCATCTCTTGTCACCTCCTTCTGCTGACACTGCAACCCACGCCCAAGGCCATGGGCTGTTCCCTAATGTGGCATTCCTTAAGAGAGCTCAGATTTCATCTGGCTCTCTTCCTGAGCTCCCTCCTCCCCTCCAGAATCCATCAGGGCCTCTCCACCCTTTGTTCCTGGAAGCAGCAGCCCACCGGTTTCCCATGAGGTCTCCACTTTTCAAGGCCTTCTTCAGCCATGTCTTCTCCTCAGGACAATCCAAGTCCAACCATGAGCTGTCCTCTCACTCACCCTGGACCCCTCCTGGCTTCCTCCAGGTCCAGGATGGGGTGGAGAGGGGTTTGGTCCACACAGCCCTCCCCGCTGTCAGACTCAGTGCTCTGGTCTGCCCCTCCTTCCTGCACCCAAGGGCTCTGGACAACTGACCTCTGAGGCTCCCGCCAGCCCTGACAGTTTTCTTCTATCTCAGGCCCCCTGGAAATCAGGGGGACAACTGAGGCTGGGCCACGTCACCTCCATTCAGACCAAACTTGCCTCCCAGTGCAGCCCTGGCTGTGCGGGGGGGCCCGGGGTTGCCCCCTCCCCAGGCCCTGCTCTGCCACTGACATAGGCGTCACCCTATGCCTTGGAGCCATTATGGCTTTGAGAAGCAGGAGTCAGCAGGAGATTAATTAATCAAAACCTGAACACATCTGCTGTTAATTAATTCTATGCCAAGGGTTAACCCTTCCCTTTCTGGGCTTCTCCGTCCCTTCGGCAGGGAAGGAAATAAAGGTGGGGCGTGGGTACCCGTCTTCCTTTCCTCCCTCAGGGGGGAACATGAAACAAGGGAGGGGACCTCAGAGGCCAGGAAAGCCCCATCCATCTGGGGACTTTGTAGGGGGGTTGTGGGAGTGTTTGGTTTTCAGAGTCGTGGTCCATGGCCATCACTCATGAGTCCTGAGGAAATGTGAGACGGACCCATATCTTTATTTACAGCAACAAATAGAACAGACCTTCCCTCCATTCCCTCCCTCTCCCCTTCCAGTCTTTTCTATACCTTTGCCCGCTCCCACCCCACCCTGGGCCCAAGCCCAGCCCTGCCCTCTGGGGTCACTGTGTGGGTCAGGCCCCACAGGAGGCTAGACCGGGGAGGGGCTTGGCTGAGGTCAGGTGGGGTGTCTCTTTTCACATTTTGTTGTCCTCTAAGCCTGGGGGCAGGGGAGGGGGGAGGCAGGCACAGGGGCAGTGAGAGGTAGAAAAGCGCACAGCCCCAGCACCCCAGCCTCCCCCATGTCCCGGCCGCCTCCCCCAACTTTCACAGTGTTCTGCAGCCCTGGCAGCTGAGCCAGGAACGGTCCCCCCTCCCCCCAGGTCTTAGGTGCTGTTGTCCAGGGAAACCAGCAAGGAGGACCGGCACCGCACTCTCACCGGGCTGGGGTTCCGAGAGGGCTCGGGGAGGGTGGGAGAGGCCCGGGGGAGGGGGCGGTCCAGCCTCGTGTGACAGCCGGGGACACCGCGGGTCAGGAGGAGAAGCAAAGCCCACAGCACTCCATGCAGATCTCCAGGCAGTCGGCCGACTCGCAGCAGGCGTCCAGGATGCCGCAGTCCAGGTCGCAGGGCAGGTCGCAGTCGGCACACTCGCCGGAGCCGCAGCAGCAGCAGCAGAGGCACGAGTCCTCGGAGCTGCAGGAGCCGCACGTGGCGCAGTCCAGGACGATGTTGCACAGCGTCAGGAACTCGCAGAACAGGCAGGACAGGATGCAGTGGACGCAGCAGTCTGCAGGCGAGACGGCCAGGGGCTGGGACCAACGCGGGCAGCAGGCTCACTGAGTGCAGAGACAACGCTCGTGCAGCCCTCCCCCGGCTCCGTGAAATGGGGACCCACCATCCAGGTGACCCCGAGACACGGAGAGTTACGCGGAGTGAGGGTCTGAGCCCCGGCAGCCTGGATCCCGAGTCCCTGCTTTGACCACCCTCGGTCATTTATTTAACGAACACGGAGGGATGACGTGTTCCAGGCACTGTTCTAAGTGTTGTGCACGAATTAAACTCATTTAAACTTGCAACGACTCCTTGAGGTGGGGCTGTATTAGCCCCTCTCTACAGATGAAGAAACTGAGGCACAGAGAAGTCACTTCAAAATCTCTCCAGAATCCTGCCACTCTGCTCAGCTCTTGCCTGGTGACAGCAACTGCGTCCTCGCTGGTCTTGCCACTCCCTGCCTTTGACTACTGCTCCCAGCCCGCACGCACCTACTCCGCACACGGAGGCCGGAAGGACCCTTGAAAAACCTCTGTTGGATTCCACCCCTCCTGCCCTCAGAACCCTCTAGTGGCTTCCACCTCAACAGGAGGAAAAGCCCAAGCGCTCCCAGTAGCCCCGACGGCCCCTCCCCAGATCCCTCTGCTGTGGCCACACTGGCTACTCCTGGTCATGCAGGCACTGCCCCCTGTCCCCCCGGTGCTCCAGCCCCAAGATACGTGCTCTGCTCATTCTGTCCCCTCCGTCTTTGCCCAAATGTCCCCTCTCGGGGAGGCTTTCCGGGAGCACCCTCTTTTATACTGCCGGGCCCCAGCCCCACCCCCTTGCCGGCGCCTGCTCTGCCTCCCCGCCCAGGACTTAGCACCTCCCGCGGCTTACACAGCTCTCCCCGCCTACTACAGGGCAAGCACCGCAGGGGCCGGCGTCTTTGGCTGTTACGGTCCCTAGACCAGTGCCTGGCACATCGTGGGTGCTGAGTAAATACACAGGAAGTGAATTCACACACGATCCTGCCTTGCGCACCCAGCTGGTACGCGGTGGTGCTGGCTCAGCAGCCCGTGTCCTGAACCGCTGGTGTGCTGCCAAGATGCTGGGCTGGCACCCCTCCCAGGGGTCGGGCCATGGGCAGTGTCCAGTTCCCCTGACCAGGCGGGCCCCTGGCTCGAGGCTGCTGGTCCTGTGGGAGTCTCACATCACCATGCAGGCTCCGACGTCCCCACCCAGTCCTGTGTACAGGGAATGGGGGCTCGCACAGCTGGAACCCCTGCCATCTATCGCAAACTGGATAAGGAAGTTCTCTTCAGGTGCACATCTGGTGAGGTCACCACCTTGCTTCAAACCCTTCGAAGCTCCCTACTGTCTTCCAGATGAAGTCTAGACCCACTATGCAGCTTACTACGTACCCTCCACTGCAGGAGTCCCGGTCTGCTTGGAGTCTCACCTCCCACCATTCTTCACCTGGAACTTCAAAATCTAGCCACACTAGCCAGTTCTCACCTCTGTGCTAAGGCACCCCGGCTAGATCCTCCTATGATCCTTTAAGGCTTGCTCAGACACCTCCGGAGCCTTCCCCAGCTTTCCGGGCTGGTGTGGGCGCCCCCTGTGTTCACTTTATCACTCATCATTTATCTTTTATCACATCGCAGAGTGACTACCTTTGGATCTCTCTGATGAGAGCTTTATGAGGCCATGGCCTGGGTACCCAGCACACAGCACAGTGCCTGGCTCACAGCAGATGCCCAGTTCACTTCAGATGCATGAACACCCCCTTCATAAACAAGCCTGTTGGGCAGAATCTGCTCTGCGGGGGTGAAAGTTATGAACACATTGTGTGCACATGTGTACACTGAATCCTGTTTGCAGAGGACCAGCCAGAGTCCCCCAGCATGGGCAGAAATTACTTAAAAGTTCTGGGGTGAAGGTCAAGCATCACTGGGCTACAGGTAGCCGTCACCCCTGCTGAACTGATGCCTGGTGGGGAGGGGGACCTGGCTGCCCAGGTCAGTCCCTCAGAGGACCTCTGTGTGGCAGGAACAATGGCTGGTACATCTGGGTGCTCTGACCTCCCACTGAACCTTGCAGCCCCCATCCCGCCCCCAATTAAGCATCTGACGGTGCATGATTTTATTACGCTAAGTGCTGTGCTCTCGCCCAACAGATGGTCCATTCCTCAAGGAAAATTTCTGTTTCCAGAAATGAGGTGGCTTAAGCTGGACGAGCCCAGATGGCTCCATTTCTTGTTAGAGCAACTCTGGGAGAGTAGGCATGAGAAGGGGCTGGCCTTGAGAACTCACACGTGCCTTACCTTACCCAACATGTGTCCTCTGCAAGGTTCTCTGATTTAAGAGTCTTGCATCAGACTCCCTGGAGGGCTTGTTAAAACCCAGACTCCCGGGCCCCACCCAGAGGTTCAAGATCTGGTGGACCTGGCGTGGGGCTGAGATGCTGCACGTCTAACCGGCAACCTTGCAAAGATGCTGCCGCTGGCCCCTGCATCAGACTTCGAGGAAGCCAGCTTTGGAGGCTTCTCCCAGAGGGAGGCGAGACGGGGTGCTTACCTTCCTGCGCCTGGAGAGGGATCTGGGAGGCAGCAGACTTGGTGCTGCCCTTGCTTTTCTTGCTGCCTTGGCTGGCTAGAGATGGGTGTGTCTGCAACTTCCGGTGGGCCTTGGGGCCACCCAGGGCACCGTTCCCTGTCCGCCTGGTGCCGCCCAGCTCCGAGGGGTGGCCAGAGCCATTCGCCACTAGTGGGGTGCAGCCCAAGGGGTTCCCCTGAGGCTGGCCTAGGAAGATGATGAGAAAGGGCAATGGGGGAAGTGGGAGCTGGTGGGGGGGGTCCCCGCACAGCCTCCCGGGGCTCTGCTTGAATCCTGCCTGCTTTTTTCCTAGATACGCCACAGGTCATCTAGCTGATCTGTATTTTGCAGATGGGGAAACTGAGGCCCAGGAAAACTGACTTGCCCAGTGGCACATCATGAAACAGCCACAGAGTCGAGCCTGGCTCCTAACTCCCAGGTCCGTGCTCATTCCAGAAAAGACAGAGGTGCAAGGCAAAGGGAGAGGCTCAGGGCCCTGGACCCCACCTTCTTACCCGGCGTGAAATCCACTCTCCTGCTCTTGGGGTCCTGGGATTTTGGCGAGAGCAGTGGCAGTTGGGGGTGGAGGGGCAGCAGGGAAGCAGTTAAGCGTCACCTCGGCCCCTGCCAAGCCCCCTGCTGCTTTTGCCCTTCGTGTGCCAGGTGATTGATTGGAAACATCTGTTTGGAGATGAATGCCCTGGCCCTGGAATCAGGGGCTCCTCAGAGCAGCCCCCTATCTCCCGCTACTTCCACCTCCAGCTCCCTGCCCCATCCAGCCTCTGTGGGGCACCTGCAGAAAGGGCTTGCTGAGGGGCCCCTTGGGTCTGAGGAGGGGGAGAAGGGAAAATGGAGGCCAAGCAGGGAGACCCCAGAAGCTGGGAACCCTGGGTCCCCATCCCAGGCTGAGGAAACAAAACAGCTTTATCAGTGGGGTGTGGGGAGGCTGGCCCTGGAGATCCCTCCAAACACCCCCTTCCTTCCCTCAGGTTTGCCCACCTGGATGGCATGGTTCTGTTCTCAGGAGATGAGGGCAGGGGTGTGTGTGTGTGTGTGTGTGTGTGTGTGTGTGTGTGTGGAAGTCTGAGAAGGGGTCATAAGAGTTCGAGGATCCCTCTGCTCAGGGCCCCTGACTCCTGGGCGGGACCCTCTGGCCCTGAGGACCCTCAGTAAACGTGAACGTGGGGCACTTACACCTCTCAGGCCCTGTGGTCTAGATCCCCAGCTCCCTCTGGGCCAGGTCTCTGGGTTTGGATTGTGGCAGGAGTGGGCGTCTGGGGCAGGAGCTGGAGGCTGAGGAGAGCGGAAGGGGGCCTCAGCGCTTCCCCTAACTGAGGGGGCTGGGCCTTTTAGTAATGGTGGGAGCACATTGCTGGGCACTCAGTGCACGCCGGGCACTGTTCGGAGCATTTGGCATGCAAATTGTTCTCAGTATCTCTAGAGGGCAGTATCCTCCTTTTACAGATGAGGAAATCAAGTCCCAGGGAAGTACAGTAACTTGTCCAAGGTCACACAGCGAAGGGTCAGAGGTGGGACCAGCCTGGAGGCTAAAAGCTGGGACTCCGAGAGCAGAGAGGCAAGGAGCGGGCAGAGGTTGGGAGGCAAGGGACTGAGGAATAAGCTGCTACTATCACAACCATCACTCCTCTTAAAACTAGTAGCTGACATGGTTTGAGCTGTGACTAGGTGCCAGACACACACGGCGTTAAGGGCTCTAAGTGTAGAAACTACTTCCTTATGTGCTTTTTTTTTTTTTTGGCCACACCGAGTGGCTTGCGGGATCTTAGTTCCCTGACCAGGGATTGAACCTGGGCAATGGCAGTGAAAGTGCTGGGTCCTAACCACTGGACCACCAGCAATTCCCAGTAGTAACTTCGTTAAGCATCAAACAGATCTACTATTACTAGCCCATTTTGCAAATGAAAAAACTGAGGCCCAGGAAGGGTAAAACTTGCCAGAGGTTCCACAGCTAGGAAATGGAGGGGGGAGGGGATGGAGACTGGGAGAAAGGAGCTGAGGACAAGCTGGGGAGTCAGGGATACAATGGGAGACAGGGCTCTGGGGAGGACCGTGCTGGAAGCCTCTGGCCCTGAGCAGTGGCTGGTGCCTGCATCTGGGTAAACAGGGCTAAGGCCAGGGGAAGTGGCCAGGCCTGAATCATCCTGCCCCCACCTCCTGGCCCCATGGTGAGTGACTGGGCTGAGTCCTTGGCCAGCTTCGGTGCCCCCTGCCCTGCTGCCTAAACATGGGCACAGTGACCAGAGGGCGGGAGCATGTGGTGAGCTAAGGGCCCAGGAAGTTGGGGCAGACACAGAGCTTGCCTGTGGCCATGGCCGTGGCAGTGGTCGTGGTGGCTGAGTCACAAAGCAAACACTCAGGGCCCATAGACACAGGGGTGTCTGTCCAGCTCCCATCCAGGCCCCCTCCTCCGTGACCACGGCATTCACCTCTTTCTCTCAGTTCTGCTGGTGGGTGTGTCTGGAGGGCAGTGCACTAGCAGGATTTAGTAACCCTGACTTCCAGGGAGTCCAGCTTACCCCAGACGCCCTGGCTGAAGGTGGCTCCACACTCGGCCATGCCAGCTGGGCAGGCAGGCATAGGAAAGAGCACTGGGCCAGGAGACCTGAGCTCCGCAGTCTGTGTTCAGGGAGAGTGGGTCTCTGTGCCTCAGTTTCCTCATCTGTAAAATGCGTTTGGCAAGAGCTATCCTGCTGCCTCAATACAGGCCAATTTGGAAAGTGCGTAAGATCATGCAGGGAAAGAAAGTTGGGAAGTGCCGATGTGTCCGTAGATTTTGCGGATCTTACTGGTAATCACAAAATGATTCTGGGTGTCCCTTCCCCTGCTTCTGAGGGTGACAGTGGCGAATTCTCCCCCTCCAGGACTTCCTTGGAGACACTGAGATAAACCTGGGAATAGAGCTGAGTTTTGCTCCTTTCTACAGAGAGCAACTGCGGGTGTCTCTCCTGCCGGTTTGCTCTTGACACGCTGAAGGCTGGGCTGCCTCAGGCTCTGGCTCCCTGGCCCTGGCCTCACGCTCTCTTGTCCTGAACCACATTGCCTGGAGCCTGTCCACACTCATTTTGAACTAATTTTATCCGAATCATTTTGTATGTGGAGGTCTTCTTCCTAGACAGAAAGGGCAACGTCCTACACCTTTCCACTGCCCACACCTCAAGGTCCTGGCCCACCGCTAGGCTCCCACAGGCACCCATGGCATTTCTGCCAGCCCATCTGCATTGGATTCCCTAAAGCAACCCCTACATGTTGCCATCCCAATCCCCTGACCCCTAGGACTCACGTGTCACAGCTTCTGTGGGGATGTCGAGGTCAGTGCTGTCCAGGGCCTGGGAGGCCCCAGGACCATTGCTTTGGGGCATGAAGGGTGCCACCTCCTCCAGGGAGCCCTCCTCTAGCGCTGACTCCGCAGGTTGAGCAGATCCTGTCACTACCTCCAGCCCAGGCAGGAGGGATAGGGTCTGGGCTAGGGAAAAAGCAGACGACTGAAGGACATTTTCCTGGTGCCCTCCTGTTTGCCCAGCCCTGGTCCCCTTCCCATGGCCCAGAATGCCGTGAGCCTTCATTCTCGGACTCAGTACCAGTTACACAGCCCTTACCCTATCTGGCAACAGTACCAGACTCTAGAATAGAAAGTTCCCAAACCACAGCCCGTGAACGAGCAAGGGTGTGTACATGTGCACGTGTGTGTGTGTGTGTGTGTGTGTGTGTGCACCGTCAGGGAGTAGGGCCCGAGATGCACGGTATAAGGGAAGTGGGGGGAGGCAGAAACACAGCGCAGGAGAGAAGAGACAGGCAGTGATGGGGAGACAGGGACAGGCATCCAGAGTGACATGGAGAGAGAAAGAATCAAAGGCACAGTGGAAGGTAGAAGCAAAGACAGACAGTGCATCAGAATGTGGGAGATTGGGCACGGAGGAGGGCGCCCTAGACGCCCAGTGACAGACAGCCCGGGACAGGCAGGAGACTCAGCAATTGAGCGAAAGTCAGCGATGGAGAGAAAGATAAAAGTGAGATCAGAGGCAGAGGCGATGGAGAGGGAGTGGGGTACAGACAGAGCAAGAGGGAGACAGACAGTGAGCAACTGGGGCCAAGAAAGAGGATGATAGCAAGAGAAAGAGTCAGAGAACCCTGGGGGGTGAGGCGGAGGGGCTCCGGGCAGGAAGAGAGACGGGGAGACAGCCCAAGAGGGCTGGAAGAGGCGTATGGCAGCCACATGTAATTACAGTGAATGGCTCGGCCCCTCTGTGCAGGGTGGGCGGAAGGCAGAAATGGAGCCACCTACAGTTCCTGAGCAGCAGGACTAGGGGCCCCTGGGCCCAGGGGAGGAAAGTTCTGGGGGCTGAGAGGTGGGGCAGGGTGGCAGAAAGGTGACTGGGCGTGGGAAGGCCTGAGGGTGGACAGGAAGGGTGAAGCCCAGGGCCATGGGGCCAGGGGCCAGGCTGGGCAATGACAGGGTGCAGCCTGGGCCTCCCATCAGCCCCCAGGTCGTGCAGTGGGAATGACAGGGGCCTCAAGAGGGCGCCCCTCCCCCAAGCCACACTGGGAGCAGGGGAGACAGAAATGAGAGACTCAGAGAGACACAGAGACCAAAGGGCCCAGGGAGAGGAGAGTGACACAGGGAGCCACAGAGAAAGATGAAGAGAAAGGGTGATGAAACCCAGAGAGTAACAGGTCAGCGCCCACCCGTACACACCACACACAGAAATCACGAGACACACCCACAGCGACAGAGAGAGACAAGAGCTAGTCTTGGAAACAGTAACAGAACGAATCACAGAGCACAGAGGGCCTTACATAGGGGTTCCTTCCCTGAGCTGTCTCCAAATGGGGGCGGAGGGGTAGGGAAGGAGACCATTAGAGGGATCAATTCAGGTTGGGCAAGTAGGTCTGGGGGACAGGAGCATCCTGAGGGGAGGGGACGATCCAGGGGCTCAGAGACCCCTGAACAATCCTTGTTCCAAAGACCCTGGTCTCCCACGGCCAGGGGGACCGAGGCCCCAGGGACCCCACGTGGGTGGTACAGAGAGCAGCCGGCATGCTCCCACCTGCCTAGGGAAACCATTGACCCTGCCTGGAGCTGGGAGCTGGGACAGGGTGCAGGGAGGGCTGGGGCTCCCACCACTCCTGAACGGTGGCAGTTCTGTGCTGGGAACCCCTCCTGGTGCCCAGGGAGGCAGGGGGCAGGTCCCTCCAGCCCCATCCATTCCTTGGGCCTATTGAGAGCTCTGTGCGTTAATGAGAGGTCAAATGGCTTTGGGAGGATCGCAGGGCTCGGACGAGGGGGAGCAGGGAAGCAGAGATGACCCCCAAGGGGGATCCAGGCCACCTGCTCCATGGCACCTCTCCCAGCCCAGAGCCTGGTCTACAGCAGCACAGACAGGACAGGACAGTGGAGGGTCACGACCAACCTGGCCTGGAGAGGGAGGCTCACGGCTTGAGTCCTAATTCCCAGAAAGGGAGGGGGCTGCCCAGCTCCAGCCTCTGGCCCTAGAGGCGTCTTGCCAAAGCCCTGAAGCGGAGCGCTGACTCTCCCAGGTGGTGTAGTGACAAAGGCCTGAGCCAGCAGCTGGAAGACCCAAGCCCTGGTTTTTACCAGATACCAGCTTGGGCGAGTTACCAGGAACTGGGTCACCTTGTGTGAAAGGGGGCTCACCATGCTTGTCCCTCAGGGTTTCAAAGAGTAAATGAAACACTCAGCAGAGCCTGGCATGCAGGGGGCCACTCACATACCCTTCCACCTGCCCATCCCCCTGCCTGCCCTCCCTCCTCTCCCTTCCTTCCTTTCCTCTTTCCTTCCTGTGCTGTTTGGTGTAACAGCTACGATGCACCTCCCAATACGTCAAGCACTGGGTGGACCAAAATGAGAAAACCTGGTCACTCCCCCAGGAGTTCTCTGTCGGGGTTGGGGTCGGTCACATACACCGCAGGGCAAGAGTTACAGCAGGGGCATCTAAGAACTGTGGGAGCACAGAAGGTGGGCACTTACCCCAGGGGTGTGTGTGTGTGTGTGTGTGTTTGTGTGTGTCTAGGAGGCTGCTTGGAGAAGGCAGTGCCTACGCTGGGTATTAAATAATCAATCAGTCAGCAAAGAAGGGGAAAAGGACCTTTCGAGAAAACCAGCAGAAGCCAAGAGCCCAGTGTGAACAGCTACAGCATGAACGAGGGGAGACTAGAATGATAACTGAGGCACGGTGGGCCTTGTGGTCACTTCCCAGGCTTTCTCCTGAGGTCACCAGGGCACACAGAGGTGACACTGTCAGTCCTGCAGTGGAAGGAGCCAGGATTGCAGCCTCTTGGCCCCCAGGGTTGAAGAGGGAGGAAGGTGAGGAAGACTGGTTAGGAGTTAGGAGACTGGTCCTCACCTGGGCCCTCCTACCCCTATGTGGCCTGCCACTCTCTGGGTAGTCTCTCCTAAGTCACCTACAGGGCTGGTGACCTTGAATCTGGTGGGAACAGGAAATTACAGAGAGCACAGACAAAGTCCCAAGGAGGCCCCTCCTGCAGGAAACCTGCCATTCTGGGGGTGAGCATCAGACCTTGGAAGGAAACCAGGGGGGAAAGTAAATCCAGTCCAGTCATCTTGACCTGGAAACACTGAGGGACAGACCTCCTGGAGCCGGGAGGGCTGCGGAGGGGACCCAGCAGACACTGGGGGAGCAGCGCTGAGGGCAGAAGAGGAAACTGTGCTGAGGGCCCAGAGATGTGGGAGCAGGCAGAGAAGGAGCAAGAAGTGGCAGGAGGACCTGGTCTGCGGGTGACATGCTGCCCAGGGGCCCCGACGCCAAGATGCTGGAGAAAAAATGGCTCTCCCTGCAAGCACATGGAGCCGAAAAACCAGACTAGAGGCGGGGCCCACGTGCTCAACCATCAAAAGACGGAAAGAGCCCAGCTTTCCTTCTTGCTACCAGGAGACCCCTGCCCAGCCACAGAGGGGAGAACATCTCTGAGGAGAAACTCCAGGAGGATGGGAGGCCAGCAAAGGACAAGGGCCACTGTGTGGACAAGAAACTCAAGTTGTGTGTGAAGGCATCTGCCCCGGGTCGGGGTGGGGCTGGAGTCCTTGGCTGGGGCCCCACCAGAGCCACCTTTTTCTAATGTGCACAGGGGGTAATTCCCTGGCGGTCCAGTGGTTAGGACTCCGCGCTTCCACTGCAGGGGACACGGGTTCGATCCCTGATTGGGGAACTAAGATCCTGCAAGCAGCACGGTGCAGCCAAAAATAAATAAATAAATAAACTTAAACAAAATAATAATGTGCACGGCGGGCCAGCCATGCTGGTGGCGTCTCTGAGCAGAAGCCCTAGCCCTGCACTTCTCTCAAGAGTCCCCATCTCCAAGGGGGAAACACAGAAAGGCAAGAGCCCGTGTGCCTCGACATATTCTCATCCCTAACATGGGATAAGGTTCAGGTCAATGCCCTGAGTTCTAGGGTGGAAAAGTCACGTTTAAATCCATAAGCCCGAGAGCGAAGCAGAGAGACTCAAACTTCAGCCGGACCCTGTGCGCTCCCTCTGCCTGCCTGCTGTTCCTGGATGGAGAAGGAGTTCGGGGGACCTCTTCCAGGTGGGAAGGGTTCATTCCAAGCCTGGAAAGTGTCCACTGGGCCCTCGTCCCCAAGCTCCAGTGCCTGGTGCCTCCAGCCGAGCCCTCTCGTGTCTTCGTGGACAGTGGACCCAGCCTTCCCCTTTGGAGCTCCGACCATCTCTGCAGAGACAGGGCCAGGGTCTGATCTGCTCAGAGAGTAGTGACCAAAGCCCCACATTCCAACCTATCCTTGGCCTGGTATTCAAGGCCTTGGTCTGTATCTTCAGCCTACTCAATGGACCAGGATCCTATGTTCCAGGCTGGCCGACCTCTCCATGGCCCCAGGCTACCACAGGGCCTTCTGCCCAATCCATCCAAGCTTCCCCATCAAGGGGAAGCTTATCTTGTTCCCCTTGATCAGAATGTCCTACCTCTCCCCTCTCCCCAAATCCAGCTCATCCTTCATGACCCAGCTGGAGTTTCACTTCTTCCTCCAGAAAGCCTTCCCTGACCCTCGAGCCAATAGTCTCTCCTCGGAGTGGCCACTTACTGAGAACTCAGCATCCAGGGTTCCCTGCTGTAAACCGTAACTAGGGAGTGAAGTGCGGGTCCTCAATCAGACTGCAGCCCCAGTCTGTCTCTGCACCCCCAGTAGGCACTTAGCAAATGTCTGTTGCTGAGGATTGAGTTCTGGGGCCTGGAGCCCCAGGTCAGGAGGAGAGAGAATGAGAAGGTGAGGATTAGGGTTGGCGCCCAGCACCAAGAAGGCAAGAATGTGGACTCGTTTGATACACACTTGTGACACACAGGTCACAGGCTCAGGTCACCAGGCTAAGGACTTGTGAGGGCCTGAGATGGCCAGTTAGGCTGGGTCCAGTTGGTTTTATTTTAGGTCTGAAGGCTCCAATTCCCCAGGAAATTCAATTTAGAACCAAGAGCAGGAATGTGACACCACAGTGCTGGACAGAAATCTGTGGGTTAGGGAGCCAGGCTCCTGGGGCATTCGGGGCTGGATGGGGAAGAGGCCACTGGGGGAGCCAAGGGTGTGCGGGCTTGGCCACCTTCCCCAACCAGAGCTGCCCTGGGTCCCCTTGCACCCCTGTCTGCATCTTGGGTGGCTGAGGGAGGGGCTGACTTACTCCCTGGCTATCTTGCCAGCAGGGCCTCGGCCTTGCTGTTCCGTCAGTGCTCAGCAGGGAGCGTGGGGGATTCTGGTCTCCGATTTAGGCGTCTGTGGGGTTTTGGCTGGGTCTCTTGCGGTTTGGGCTTCCTGGGCAGCAGGCTCATTCTCCCAAGGCAGCAGAGCCAGGCCTTCTCGTGTTATGAAAGCCACATTGTCTGGCCCAGCCCAGGCTGGGGAGGGGGCTCGCTGGGGCACTGGGGGGCCTCAAGTTACAGCCCAGGGCTTAACCCTCCCAGTGGCCCACTCTGGCCCTTGCCCCTGCCCTGAGCACATTCAGCCCCTCCTTTCCCTACTGGGGCTCGAAATGGGTCACACAGGGGCGAGGATCTTGGAAGGAAGGAGTGGAGGCGAGAGCACAGAAAATGGATAAGCAGGGGAAGAATGGGAGAGTTGGAGAGAAGCAGGAGGCTGAGAAAGAGAGGAGGGGCGAGGGACAGAGAAAGAGCCTTCCCAGGCCTCTGCCCCTAGCCCTCTCTCCAGGCTGCAGGAGCCCAGTTCTTGGTGAAGTTTATTCCCCAGAAGTCCCTACTCCAGGGTCCCCACAGAGGGGGGAATCTGAGGGCTGGTGGGATGCACAGCAGACACACTAGTCTCACGTACATGCCGGCCCCTGACCAAACGTCTCCCACTTGTCCTCACTCTAGGAGACCCCCAGCCCCACCCCGCACCTCCACAGCCCTGGGTCTCCAAAGGGCCAGCATCTACACCAGGTAGACCTGGGCCTCTCCAAATGGGCAGACCAGCTCCCATGGGCGGATATGGAGACTGAGGCCAGAGAGGGGAAGGAACTTGTCCAAGGCCATGCAGGGAGTTAGTGTCAGAGGTCCAGGACCAGACCTCCGTTATTCAGAGGCTCAAAGAGGGGAGAAAGGGCGAATGGGGCTGGGTGAGAGGAAGGCAGAAGATAAGACTAACCTAGAGCTAGGAGTAAAGGCATGAAATCTGGGCCTGTACTCCTGCATGCAACCCCTCCAGCCCCCCGCAACAAATCCCAGATGTTCCTGACTTCTCCCTGTCCCTGTGGTCCATTGTGAGCCTCAGCTCACATGTGTACGGTGAGGGGATTGACTGAGAGCCACAGCCCCAGGACTCCCCTCTGCCCCCTCCTTGGACCCCCTCAGGAAGTCACAAACCCTCCCGGGTTGGGAGGCTCCTGCAGGAATCCCAGGGAGGTTACAGACCCTGTGAGTTGAGGGAAGGGGTGTTTCACTCGGGTGGTGAGCACTTGATTGGGGAGAGTGAATGAGAGAGAGGGAGAGAGAAAGACAGAGGCGGAGAAGGAGATAAAACGTGTGTGTGTGTATGTGTGTGTGTGTGTGTGTGTGTGTGTGTGTGTGTGTGTGTGTCGTCCCTGCAGGGTAGAGGTGGTGGGGACTGGCCGGGCCCCGGTGGGGAGGAAGACGAGCGAGACGATATGGCAAGGAGGGGAGGGGCCGGGTCCTGTCGGACAAAAGTTTTCTGGAAGCACTAGGCTCTGGCTGGGTTGGGGGAAGGGAAGGAGAGAAAGACTCAGACACCCCCACACCGCCTGAGGCCCCCATAAATATTTACACACTGGGCAGAAAAGGCTGGGACACAAATCCCAGACGGACAGACAGACACTGCGTGTGTGTGTCTGGTGTTGGGAGTGGGGAGTGTTGGAGCCAACTTGGCGCGGCCACCGCCTCCGTTCGGGCCCTACCCCCATCGCCTCAGCCCTCCACTCTCCTTGGACCCGGTCCCCGATACCCAGATTCCTCGCCTCCACCTCCACTCAAGCTTCCCCGAACCCTCTCCCCGCTTCTCAGGGAGGAGGGGGGAGAATGACCACCGCCCCCAACCCCCTACCCGGCTCTCGTCCAGTCTAGCTCTCCATCCCCGGTCCTACCTGGGCCGGGGGCTGCGCTGGGGGCTCCATGGGGCGCGTCGCAGTGAGGGGGGCGCTGGCCACTCACCTGGGACATCGGCCCGGGACCTGCGGGAAACAGGGCTCAGCGGGCGGAGCGGAAGGCCCCCGCGCGCGCGAAAGTGGAAAAGGGGGCCGGGCAGAGGGCGATCCAGCGGCAGCCGTGCGCCCATCCCTTCCCAGGCCGGCCCCCGACCGACTTACTCGTGCGAGCTGCGCGCCGCTCTCTCGCGCCGCGGGGATCACTGCGCTGGGCCTGCCATGCACGACGGCCGCGAGCGCCCCAGCCCAGGGGCAACTCGGCTCCACTGCGGTCGCTCCGCGCCCCTCCCTCTCACTCGCTCCTTTCTCCCATTTCGGCGCCAGCGCGCGCCGCTGGCCCGCTTCCGTCTGCCTCCTTTCCCTGTAGCCCCCTCGCTCCTCCCCTGCTTGCCTCTCCTCTTCCCTCCCCTCCTCCCCGGCCCACCCTCTCCCCGCCCCCTCCTCGCCTTCCCAGGCGCCCCCCCACCACGTCCCTTCCCCCGCGCCGGGCTCGGCGCTGCCTGGGCGGGACACGTCTGTCCGCGGGGCGCTGCGGCTGGAGCCCCCACAGGAAGCCGGCTCCGCGCGTTTCCTCCGCGCTCTCGGAGCTGGGCCCAGTCTCCCCAGATCCCCGCCCCCCTCCCAGGCTCAGCGCCCCGGGGGGCGTGCAAAAGGGGCCGCGCGCGTTCCCCTTTGCCTGTCCTAAACTCTGCGAAAGTTTTTGAAAAAGCAAGAGAACAAGAGAGAGAGAGAAACCATGGTGACCACAACCACCTCGAGCCAATTGTCTGAATATTTGTGGCCCCCAAATCTCGTTGTCCCAAAGGTGGGAGTGATCAAGTTTCTCAGGCACCCTTTGCCCACCCCCTTGGTCTCTGCCCCGGGGTCCTAAGCCTGGGCACAGACCAGAAGTTGTCCCTCCGGGAAATCCGGTTAGTGACCACCTAGCATCCCGTGTCCTAGAGCAGCCCTAATTCCCCCACCTCCACCAGCCGTGCGTGGGAATTTGGTCAGAAACCCAACTTTGGAGGCAAAGAGAGTTTCTCGAGTTCAGCCTTTCTCTTGGCTCCAGACTGGAATCCGAGGCCTTCCAAATTACGGGCGCTCGGGAAAGGGGAGACAGGGAGCCCCTCCCGGCGGGGGCAGCCCGGCGACACATCTGGAATTGTGAGCTGGGTCCCTCCTCAGGGCCGGGGTTAGGAAGGAGCCGTGGCCAGAGAGTCGGGGTGAGGGGAGTTCAGGGACCCTCAGCGTCGCCCAGGGAGCAGGTCCCCGAGGATGGGGGAGGGCATGGAGCCTGCGGCCCGCTGGGTGGGGGTGGGCGGGCCCGTGGGAATGATCAGGTGGGGCCGCCCGCTGTGGTGACAGCTAGACCAAGGACTCCTCGGAGCCGAGTATGGGCTCCCCACCACGAGGGGCCGTGAGCAATTAGGGAGGCGACGGTGGCGCCGGGCCTGTTCTCCCGGTCCCGCCTTCCAGCCCGGGCTTGAAGCTGGGGCTGGGACGCGGGGCCCGAGCTAGGGACTCGGGGCCTCTCCTTGGTGTCCCCCAGTCCCTGCAGTCGCTACTTACGACGCTCAAAGGTCCTCGCGGCGCCGTCGAGGCCAGGACCGCTGCGGTCCCCAGGGCTTTCGCCACCCGAGGCCGCGTCCCCGCGATGAGGCCAGGTGGCTTCGGCCGGAAGTGGGGGGCCCCCGGGCCGGGAGGAAGGGGTCCGGCTCCCGCGGCCGCGCAGCCTGGTGCGGGGCTCGGCCTGGAACTCCGGGAGCCAGCCCGGATCAGTCTGTTGTATGGAAATTCTGGGGAGCGGGGCGGACTCCCCCTTCCCGGCAAGGGCTGAGTCACTGGGACGTGCCCGCGGGGCTTGGCGACTGCAGCATTCTGACCAGCTTACCTGGGTCCGCGAGCTTGGCCTCATCCGCCGCCAAGACTGGAAGTGGAAGGGCGTAAGGGGGCGGGGTGGTGGACATGGTCCCCAGGGCAGTCCCCACCGTCGCTCTCCGTCCTCTCCTGAATGTGGGGCCCCCTCCCTAACCACAGACCCTAGCCCTACACCACTAACCCGCCCCGCCTCCCCCCTGCTTCTCAGTCTCTATCCAGGGCCCCTAAACTCTGCATCGGCCCAGTCTCCCAGCTTTACTGTCCGAAATCAACTGCTTGGGATCCAAAGTCCTCTGAACCTGGCCCAGCACTAATTAGCATGTCTGGTTTGTTGGAAATGTAAACTATTTACACTTAATCTCACATGCCGGTTATACGGGTGAGCTCAGTTTGTGAAAACCCAGCAAGCTGAACACTTAAGGTACATACCCTTTTCTATATGGCTATCATACTCGAATAAAATGTTTTAAAAAATCAACACTCATTAAAATCAACATTCTAGGGCAAAACACAGTATGGTGTGATGACCAGGCAAGGGACTCCAGTTCCAGATCCCAACTCCACCGTCCGCGTGTTTCCTTGGAGAAGTCCCTTTACCTCTCTGAGCCTCAAGAGAGATGAACATTGGGCTCTCTGTGTGGAACCTAATAGTTTCATTGTTATCCAGGACCAGGACTAGGGTGAGGTAAGTGGGGCGTTCCTCTGGGGTGCAAAATTTAGGAAGGTGCCAAGATGAAAAAATGTTTTAATTCAATATTTTTAAAAAGCCAAATCTGAAAATTACAGCCCTGCCAGCTAGCTGCCTATTTTTATTTATTTATTTATTGGCTGTGCCTCACAGCTTGTGAAATCGTTTTTGTTTTATTTTATTTTATTTTATTTTATTTATTTATTTATTTTTGGCTGCATTGGGTCTTCGTTGCTGTGCGCGGGCTTTCTCTAGTTGCGGTGAGTGGGGGCTACTCTTTGTTGCGGTGCGCAAGCTTCTCATTGCAGTGGCTTCTCTTGTTGCGGAGCACGGGATCTAGGTACATGGGCTTTAGTAGTTGTGGCTCGCGGGCTCTAGAGCGCAGGCTCAGTAGTTGTGGCGCACGGGCTTAGTCGCTCCGCGGCGTGTGGGATCTTCCCGGACCAGGGTTCGAACCCGTGTCCCCTGCATTGGCAGGCAGATTCTTAACCACTGTGCCACCAGGGAGGTCCCAGCTTGTGAAATCTTAGTTCCCTGACCAAGGATGGAACCAGGGATTGAACCCAGGCCCTCAGCAATGAAAGCGCCGAGTCCTAAACACTGGACCACCAGGGAATTCCCCAGCTGCCTATTTTTATAAATAAAGTTTTATTGGAAACAGGGACAGGATTAGGGTGAAGCCAGTGAGATGGGATCATGCAAGTTCAGGGTTAGATCCCGTCTTTATTTAAAATATTGGCATTTTGTTCATTATAGATTTTTTTGCATTAATTTTGATTTTTAGATATATTGCAGGAAAATATAGTTTACCGAGTAATTACCAAGTAATTGTAATTACCGAGTTTTTTGATGCTCCCTTAAGTTTTGCACCTGAGCCTCACTCACTCTAGGCCTTACACACCTCGCCGTTGTCCCTGGCCTGTTACTGTCTTCTCCTGAAGGACCTGGCTAGGACCCCAGAGTAAATGAGCGGGAGGCTGAAGATGCTTCCACCCCCCTCACCACCCCCCTCAACAACAGGTAGGCTCTGCATTCAAGCCCAGGCCTAGCTTTCCTGGAGCCCACTGATCAGTTCAGAGTCAAATGCAAAGTCCTTACAATGGCCTTCAGGCTCCAAGAGCTGGGCTCCACCTGCCTTCGCCTTCATCTCCCCTCACTCATTTCCTTCCAGCTTGCTGCTCCCTGAGTTTGTTTTTTCAACTTGCCCCATGTGCTTGCCTCAGGGCCTTTGCACTTTCTCTTCCCTTTGCCCAGAATGTGCTTCCCCTAGATATTCACTTGGCCCCCTCCCTTGTTTCCTCTACTTATGTCACCTTCTCAGAGAGGGCATCCCAGACCGCTCACTCTCTGTCCCTTCCCACCACTTTATTATTCTTCATAAACCTTTCACCTCTTGTTCATTAGTAGAATGAAAGCTCCAGGAGAGAGGGGACTTTGCTTTGTCTGCTAGGGTATTCCCTAGAATTGGGTCTGACCCAGAGAGCTCAATAAATATTTCGTTTCACAGATGGAAAACAAGGGGCCAGAGAGGGGAAGGGGCATTAGCAAGTCACGCGGTGAGTTGGTGGCAAGAGCTCACTAAATCCCATGTTTCCAGACTCTCAACTCAGTGCTGTTTCCTGCCTCCTGGGGCTTATCCTCACCCCCTACCCCCACAGCCCTCCAGACAGCGAAGGGTGACCCTGCACAGCTCTCCTGTACGCTCCTTTCCACACAATGTGATTACAGAGCCTGGCCAGGCTCCAGACCCCGGCGTCCACCCGTCTCCAGTGTCCAGCAGGCAGGCACAGCTCTTCCTGGCTTCCTGTCTGTGGCACAGGGCTGGTCAGTGGCTGGGCTGGGTTCTGCAGCTGGACCACAGCTTTGGTCTCCATACCCTGGAGAATGGGGGACGGGCCATTGTGGCGCGACCTCCCTGCAGAGGGCTGTGTTGAAGGGGGTGTGTTTGTGTGTAGTGGGGGGAGGGGGATGCTGGATAGGAACTGAACAACTAGATAGGAACACCCTCCCTAATGAGCAGAGTGGAGAATGGGGCTCTAATCCCCCCTTCCTCAAGGACATGGCATGCGACCGTGGGAGGGCAGCTCTGGGCCCCAGGCCTGATTCTCTTCCTTTCTTCTATTCTTGGTAATCAGAAGACGGTGGTGTGTCACATTCAGTACACATGAGTTGGGTATGTTCTATATGCCAGCCCCTTGCTGGATAGTTCTAGATTTGTTGCTTCCTTTCTTTTCTTTTTTTAAAATTTACATTTTTTAACATCTTTATTGGAGTATAATTGCTTTACAATGGTGTGTTAGTTTCTGCTGTATAACAAAGTGAATCAGCTATACGTATACATATAACCCCATATCCCCTCCCTCTTGCATCTCCCTCCCATGTTGCTTCCTTTAATACCCACACAGTCCGGAAAGCTGTTATCCTCATTTTACAGGTGAGGAAGCTGAGGCACAGTGAGGTGAAGTGACTTGCCCATGGCCACACAACTAGTATGGGTTGCAGCCGGGACTTGTACCACATTTCTTTTTTTATTTTTTTGGCCGTGCTGTGTGGCATGCAGGATCTTAGTTCCCTGACCAGCGATTGAACCCATGCCCCCTGCAGTGGAAGCGCGGAGTCTCAACCACTGGACCGCCAGGGAAGTCCCTTGTACCACATTTCTGAAGCCCACTGCAGTGCTCATTCCAATCCCTGACATGGCCTTTAGCACAGAGAGAGAACTGTGACATTCTTCGGGATGTGTCCCCCACCTCCAAGCTGGCTGCTGGAGATGGAGGCATGGCCCTGGCCCCCCTCCTCTGTCTCATCGGTAATTGGCCGCGTAGAAAGAGTGGGGCTTGGTTTGGTATCGTGGAGACCCAGTTTGCATCCTGGCTCACTCACTTCTACCTAGGTCTGTGATTTGGGGCAAGTCATTTGAACTCTCTGAGCTTCCAGTTCTGTTGTGTAAACCCAGGAGGGTGGTTCCCACTTCACAATTGGGAAGAAATTAAGTGAGCACCTGGTACAACACCAGAGGCTTCAGTAAATGGTAGCTCCCTTGCCCGGGTCTGCCCTCCCTGACGCTTACCCAGCAGCAAGCAAGGGGAGCCTCACAGGGCATGTGTCCAGCACCTTACCTGGTGCTCACTATGCGACAGGCACAGTTCACAGCACTTTACATGAATTAACCAGTTTAATAGTCACAACATTAAATATCAATTAATATTAAGTACCAATATTTCCCCCATTTCACAGGTGAGGAAACAGAAGCACAGAGAGGTTCAGCAACTTGCTTAAGCCTCACAGCCTTCCCTTCAGCACCATCTTCCCTGGGGGGAGGGAGGGGTCTCAGGGCTGATCCTCTACTGGATAGATCCTCTTCATCCCCCAGGGAAGTTAATGAATTCTGAGCTGCTGTTAATCAAGTATAAATGCCCTTATGCACTGTCCTCCAAACTTTTTTTTTTTAAGTAATTCAACTTTATAACAATTATAAGTAAACCTCTTAACATTTTCTGGACAGTGCCAGTCTTAAAAGAAAAAAAAGACTTATTTTTTAGAGCAGATTTAGGTTCACAGCAAAATTGAGTGGAAAGTATAGAGAGTTCCCGTGCACCCCCTGCCCCACACATACCCAGCCTCCCCCATCATCCACATGCCCCCCAGAGTGCTACATTTGTTACAACTGATGGATCTGCACTGTCCCATCATTATCACTCAAAGTCCATAGCTAACGTTCAGGCTCATTCTTGGCATTGTACGTTCTGTGGGTTTTGACAAACATATAACGACATGTATCTACCACTATAGTATCGTACAGAGTATTTTCACTGCCCTAAAAATCCTCTGTGCCCCACCTATTCATCCTTCCCTCCCCCTAACCTCTGACAACCACTGATTTTTTTTTTTTTTTTTTTGGCTGCGTGGGGTCTTCTTTGCTGTGCGTGGGCTTTCTCAGGCTTTCTCTAGTTGTGGTGAGTGGGGGCTACTCTTCTTTGCTGTGCGCGGCCTTCTCATCGTGGTGGCTTCTCTTCTTGCGGAGCACGGACTCTAGGCACGCAGGCTTCAGTAGTTGCGGTATGTGGCCTCAGTTGTTGTGGCTCACGGGCTCTAGAGTGCAGACTCAGTAGTTGTGGCGCACGGGCTTAGTTGCTCCGTGGCATGTGGGATCTTCCTGGACCAGGGCTCGAACCCATGTCCCCTGCATTGGCAGGTAGATTCTTAACCACTGTACCACCAGGGAAGTCCCAACCACTGATATTTTTAACTGTCTCCATAGTTTTACCTTTTCCAGAATGTTGTGTAGTTGGAATCATACATTATGTAGCCTTTTCAGATTGGCTTCTTTCACTTAATAATATATATTTAATGTTCCTCCGGGTCTTTTCATGGCTTGATAGTCCATTTCTTTTTATCACTGAATAATATTCCATTATCTGCATGTACCACAGTTTCTTTATCCATTTTTTTAATTGAAGGGTATCTTGGTTGCTTCCAAGTTTGGACAATTATGAATAAAGCTGCTATAAACATTTGTATG